CATCGGATGAAACATACTGTCATGTTAGCGTATCAATTACACTAAGCTATTGACAGACTTAACTGACTGACTACAACCATTATAGCCATTGGGTGAAACATACTGTCATGTTAGCGTATTAATTACACGAAGCTATCGACAGACTTGTCTGACCAACTACGACCATTGTAGCCATCGGATGAAACATACTGTCATGTTTGCGTATTAATTACACTAAGCTATCGACAGACTTAACTGACCGACTACGACCATTATAGCCATCGAATGAAACATACTGTCATGTTAGTGTATTAATTACACTAAGCTATCAACAGACTTAACTGACCGACTACGACCATTATAGCCATCGGATGAAACATACTGTCATGTTAGCGTATTAATTACACTAAGCTATCGACAGACTTAACTGACCGACTACCTACGACCATTATAGCCATCGAATGAAACATACTGTCATGTTAGTGTATTAATTACACTAAGCTATCAACAGACTTAACTGACCGACTACGACCATTATAGCCATCGGATGAAACATACTGTCATGTTAGCGTATTAATTACACTAAGCTATCGACAGACTTAACTGACCGACTACGACCATTATAGCCATCGAATGAAACATACTGTCATGTTAGCGTATCAATTACACTAAGCTATCCACAGACTTGTCTGACCTGTATATGCATATGTAACTGAAAAATACCTAGAGGAAATATAGGTCTTCAGCATGAGAAGAATATTAACAAAATTCAGAATAAGCGACCATAATCTAGAATTGAATTAGGACAAAGAAAGAAAGGCAAAAGTGGAAGAAAAAGACAGAATATGTACAAAATGTAATGATGAAAAAGTGGAAAATGAAATCCATGTTATTTTAGACTGTGAGCACTATAAGAAAGAACGAAAATTGCTGTTTATAGAATGTAACATAATAAATAAACAGGATAGAATAAACAATTTTATAAACATATGCAACAACAGTTTTGCTCTAATTAAATACCTTAAACAAACAATATACAAAAAGTAAAAAAAAAAGTTTTCGTTATAGTACCGGTATTATTTTTGTAATTTTCTCTTTATTGTAGTATTTTTTCCCATACATTTACCCACAGATGGTAATTGTTGAGTACTAGTTATTATTATACCAACAGCTCTGCCTGTTGTCTTTCATGTCAGCAAAGTTAAAAACATGATCTATTAAAACAATAGAGCTTTAACTACTGTCACATCTCTCAATTATTGAGTCAATTATTGTTGAGAATTCCCTGTAGTTGTAAAGTCATTCTATGTACATGTACAAGTACTTGAAACTGTCAGTTTGTGTGTTAGTATTTACCATTTATTTCATAGCCTGTGCTTTATAATTATTTTGTTTTCACCATGGGTTTTGACAGTTTGAAGTATGTGTGAAAACTCTTGATGGCTTGGTATTTATCTTAAAACGTTTTCATTGATACTTCAACTGGAGTCATGCAAATGATTGTTCATTTCCTTTTGTTGAATTTCAAGTTCATTTCCTTTAAAACTCATTACTTTCAGTGCTGTGATAATTCAATGATTTTGTTTGCTATGGTGCATGATTCTGACCTCAATTGCCTATTTAGTGTGGGAAGAGTAGATAATGTCATATAGTCATTTTACCTATTACACATACAGCTGCATAAACCCAGATGTCATTTCCATTTATTAACTGATTGTTGCTAGCATGCAGTCGTCGCTATATACCGTCTGTTTCTTCATCCCAGGCAGATCTTGTAGCAAGTTTCATGTAAACATTTTTTGCAATGAAATGTTCATGTGAATGTTACATATGCCGGAAAGCTTACACCATTATGCAACTGACGTAGGTGTCAAAAATACCACCAAAAACTCTTTCATCACTGTTGTTCACTCACTGAAATAATTTGAACCACAACAAAAAATAATTTCTTGTGACATTGAAAGTCTAATAGATGCCAAGCGAAAGATATTTATTGAATTTTAAAATGAAAATAAGAAAGCTACTGAAATGCTTTTAAAGACTCCAATTTCAATTTCAAGTCCGTGAGTAACTTGACATTAGGCTTTTAAGCTGATTTAGGCTTGCTTAGCTTGCTTTTAAAACTATAATATATCTGAATTGTGCAGCGTATTCTGCCTAAAATATATCTCATATTATTAACATGGCCAAATACTACAAAGAATATGTTGGAATTATTGGTGACAGTAATACTCAGCTAATAGCCAGCTTAAAAGTTAAGTTATGTCTGAAGTGTACTGTAAATATGCGTCTTGGATCTCCAAGAAATGTACATTATCATGTTTGTTTGATGACATTATCTTAAAATTTAGACTCCTAGCATAATTATGGAACTTACCAATTATATTTACACAACACAAAGATTTATTTAACATTTATATACTAGTTACGCTCTTTTGTTTTTGTTTTTATATAATATTTTTACATATATCTTAAAACTCTTTTTTGCTGTACTTATCCTATGTAAATCTTTTTACACGAAGGCAATAAAGTTATTATTATTATTATTATTATAGTAACAAAACAATATATTTCAGAGCTGCTTATCACTATTCATGTCTGAAACGATTTTCAATTGATTTATTCAAACAGTAAGATAAATACTTACATTCTCTAATAACAATTACTGTACATACTGTGATTACACGCTACTGAAAATGATCATTTAACCCCAAAATCACAAATATGATGATTGACTATCAAAATAATTTGTTTACTAATGAATCATTGATAGAGATTGATAATCAAATACTGATAGAGTTTGATAATTAAATCATAAGCTAAACAATCATAAAATTATTAAATATTATTATTAATGATGTTGTGTATCTGTCGCCATTATAAATATTATTAATGGTACACAAAACATTAGAAACCATACATTAGAAATAGAGAAAGAACAACATATTCAACCCACAGACAAAAATACCTTTCAAGTGATGAGCTTCCAAAAGGTAAAAAAAAAAAAAAAATGTATTCACCTAAAGAGTACATGGTTAGACAGATTTGAAAATATTTATATAACATAGAGAGAGAGTGAGCTGACTTCTGACTGTTTGTTTTTTCATTTTAAATTATTCTATATCTTGACACTTTATTTCTGTACATTGATAGAAATGTTGTTCCTAAAAATGCAATAAAACATTATTATTATTATTATTATTATGCCATTATACCTGTACTGGGTGCTTTAGTGCATTTTGTTGTTTGCTATTAAAGCCCCATCTTCACTGCCAAGATTTTGTTTGTATTACAATTGCACCAATTTGAAGTCATCAGATGGAATCTGTAGTAACCAGGATTACCTGGTGTGTGTTGAATGCATCAGATGGAATCTATAGTAACCAGGATTACCTGGTGTGTGTTGAATGCATCGCAGGCAATGTATTAAGACAAAATTGATTTAATGATGAATTGATAACCATCATCAGAAATCTCACCATTATCAATCAGTTAAAATGAATGGACTTGAATGATTACATTTATTAAAAAATCCCTTTTTTTAACCACACATGAGGTAGATTCTGGCAGGCATTTGTAGTAGGATTTTGATTGCTTTTTACTTTATTTGAACTTGGAGAGTCAAGGGTCTCATATGGTATATGGATCTGTCCTTATGTCTTTTCAGTTATTTATCTCGGTGCATATGTGTGTATATAAGCACTAAACATACCAACATAACACTGTTTAAATTTCTGTTTTGTTGCAGCTTGTTTGTTTTCTGCATGATTGTAAGAGATAAAAAAACTTTGATATGAATGAATTTTTTTGTTTTACATTTTACTTTCTTTTTATTAAAATGTTAGTGTCATGTGATATTATGTTGTCTGCCATATATTTAGGACTCTGTATGTGAGAGGTCTGTTTGACTGTTCTCTTTTCATTATGGCAGTTATATCCCAGACACAAGCAATCCTTCTCCCTAAATTCCATCTTCATGAATATTGGTCAACTACGTATACTTTGGCTTCTTCATTGAGTCTGCCCGGTACATACACTATGTGGTACACTCACTCAGAGTCAACTCATGTTTAGTGTTCAACCGCAGTTAGGTTTGAAAGACACATGAATCAGATCTTTAATTTTTCTTAACTATTGTCATGGTAATATTAAAGACAATTATTCAATTTCACTTAAATCCTCAACATTTAATTCTTTGAGGATGTTGGTAATTTTTCAGGAAATGAAAATCAAGTTTCAACCAACTTATATGTATTGTTTATATAATTACCATCATGTAATTTAATTACTTTACTTAATCACTTCATTTAATTACTTTACTTAATTACTAATTACTTTACTTAATTACTTAACTCAATTGCTTGATCCAATTTTTTGTGTTTTATTTCCTTGAATCTGGAAAATCTATTTCATTTGCTTTCACATGTTTTCTACATTTATCGTAACCATGGAAATCTTAATGATCAGTTTTTTTAGTAGTTTGCTTGTTGTTAGGCTTTTAGCCAGCCACCTGTCTGCTTGTCAACTTTGACAGGCACTCAACAATTCAGACACGTATACATTTTTATTTGACAGTTTAAATTTCTACAAACCTGTCTACTTTTGATTGAAAATTTCTCGTAATGCACAAAAAAGTCATAAATGATCACGAAAACTAGACTATAAGTCTGTGGCTACAGCGACTACTTTCTTTCTTTACAATATTATAATAACAGTTTTTTATTCAGTCACTTTTCATTCTGTGTCTTAAACCCTTTGTACATATAACTGTATGACAATGTATACTGCATCTTATCTGGAGGAGGCTGTATTATTGATTAGTGGATTATGTGATTGACTTGTCAACAAAAGTGAAAATTAATGAATTCATTTTGGTTGTTACCTTGTGGTGTGTAATGTTTCACAAGATAAAAAAATTTCAAATCATGTCCAAAAGATTTTTCTCTTCATTTTACATTAGCAGTTATGATTGCAATTCTGATTTACTTTAAAATTAAAATTAAGATTTGTTTGTTTTACAGCAATGGTTTTAATTTGATTCTGTATGGCTTGGGATCCAAGAGAGTCTTACTGGATGAATTCCGAGATGTCCAGTTATCAGAATTTACACATGTCGTCATTAATGGATTCTTTCCAAGCATCACCATTAAAAGTGTAAGTAGAATTTTTTCCACTAAAATTTATTTTGTTCACATTTATGTTTTTATTATCAATGCCATGAATACTTTATTGAGATTGGAGGAGACCTTGATTTAATTATGCAAGTCATATTAAATAGAGCATAATGCACCCATATTGTTATCGTTTGTTATTGTGTTCCAAATTAGGTCCCACATTATGAAAAGAAACACAAAATCAGTAATTTCAAAAATTCTGTTTTAGACTGAGAAAAACAAACTAAAATTGATGAACATTGTGATACATAGACTGTTTTGATAAGAGGAAAGTAACTTTTCTAAGTGAGCAAAACCAGTATTGCTATATCTACATAGCTTTGCTCACTTGAGCTAGCATCCCTGTTGTCAACAAATTTGCCTTCTCTGTGTGATGTAGTGTTATGTATGATACATGTTGCTCAATAACTGATATTTGTAAAAAATTGGATTGGATTTTATTATTATGATAGCATCCAATTAACATCTCCACAAAAAATGCCAAATTCTGGGTCCCAGTTTCTTTTACCTGGGATATGTCCAGAACATATTGATATTTGTTATTTTTTGTGTTTTCATTTTCAGTTCATGAACCTACACTTCAGCCATATTATTTTTTTTATTTTGGTCTTATATTTGCCAGTATTTTTTATGGACAATTCACTAAGCTGCTTATGTAGAGGAAGAATTTGTAATCAAGTGTAATTTTTACAAACACATCCTGAAGCTATTGTATAATTAACATTTAGATCCGATTACCGGTACTTTCTTCTCTTTAAAATTGGATCTGTCAGAATATAAGATGAATATTTTTAAAGCTGTTTATCCCTCTTACCATCTTTTATCACTTAGCTTGAAGGAGATGTGTGCAAAATAACAGCTGCCCACTTCCATAAAGCATCAAATTATATCTCCTAGGTGACAAATTTTGGGAAATGAGTTTTAGCATGAATCAAAAAGGGTTCATGGTCTCAACTTGATGTAGAATAATAATGAAATGCAGTTTCCTTTTTACATATGTCAATCATAATTATGTGTACATGTGAAATGACACTTGAGTAACTGTGCTTTTGCCTTGGAATATTAACTTGCGTTAACACTTGAAGTGTGGAGGAGTGATTTACTGAAGTGAATATTGACTTGAGTGTCTGTGTGTCTCATTTATGCTGAGTATTTTATTATGATTCAAGAGATACCATGTAATTCCTTAGATTTACAACTTTGTCATTTAGAAAGGCTGAGTCCATCATTGCGTGCTGAAAATCTGAACGTTATTATTTATTTTTTGTAGTTGCTGATTCATTTTATGACTCAGTGTATGAAGCACACAACAAGAGTCTTTGCAGTTGTAACCTGTATGTGTTCATATCTGTGTTTCTTTGTTATTTATTAAAAATATTTTGTTTTCAAATTTTTATTTCTTATAATTTGTTTTTAAAAGTATTTCACTGTTTCAATTGCCATATTCTATTACATAACAGATGTGTTGATATACTCAAAACAAGTTTGTTGTGACTATAAAAATAGAGCAAATATTGTATATTTGTTAAGACTTGTATTTTGTTTTTCTGTTTTTGACTTGATTGTACCTTTAAAATAATTTTACATGAAACATCACATGCTACATACGTCATGGGAAAACTGGGAAATTCATGTTGTAATGTTATTTGTGATTGGCTGAAAATCACTTAACTAATTTGACCATGACCTTGATCACAAGACCCATAGTTCCCTGCGCCAGACCCTTTCATTTTTTCTTCACTGCTGTTGTAATACTGAAGTCACCAAAAACTGTTGGAAATCTCTAAAAAATTTCAAATGAAATAAAGTGATTGGTAAAAATGGTTATTAATTAATCTTCAAAGCCCTGTGTTTTTTATTGAAATCAACAATTCATTGATTTCACCGTGACCATGATCTCATAAATGCAGTGGTGAAAATCATTTTTGTCACGGCCATCTATGTGTCCGGCCATTCGTGTGTCCAGCCATTC